TGGGGTCCCACGGCCTCTCCTCCGGGCTGCGAGTGGCACTTCCTCGCGTTCCGCGGCCTGTCCCTCTCTCCCGGTCCCGTGTCGGCTCTGGTGCCCGCGGGCAGGTCTGACTCTCCGATGCCACCTGCCGCCCAGGTCCGCAGCCATGGCCCGCCCGGATCGCGGACGCACCAAGGCGGGTAGGGTCAGTCCTCCCGTTCCCGGTAAGCGGCTGCCTCCCCACCCCTGACATTCCAGAGGCTTCTGCGGAAATCGTCCTCCTTCCCAGATATCTGAGGAAGCAGACCCAGCGGGTACAACTCAGGGAAGCCACGGACTTCCCAAGTTCTCCCAGCGGGGCCATTTAACCCAACAATTCCACCCCCTTTAAGTGACAGGGACTGTGGGCCTCCCTCCCCGCCCCCGCCTCCCTCCTGTCACCAGCTTCCCTGCTCTTCAATTATGGAGGAGCTGCAGTGTTGGGAGTTCTCGGGTTTAAGGGCAAGGGTGGGGCTGAGGGCTCCTGGCTCAGGCCTCTGCCCAGGCGCTGGAGGGAAGCCGGTGCCCAGTGGATGGCACATCCACTCCTCCCAGGGGCATAGCCTCCCCTGCCCCTTGCCCTCACCTCACCTCCACATGAGAGAGAGAGAGAGAGAGAGAGAGAGAGAGAGAGAGAGAGGTAAAGGGGGCGGGAGAGAGTCAGACAGGAACTCTCACCAATAACCAACGGCAGCGATCTCCTTCCTTGTAAACAGTTTTATTCCGTTTTAAGAATCATGCAGCAGCCCATGAACACCGCATCCTGACGTCCCCACTGTCGTGTACCCATGAGCGTAACTCCAGGGATGAGGGGTACACGGATGGCACAACCGTACAGACACCCCTGCACACAGCCGGGGTGCAGACCCTAAAGCAAGGTGAGCAGCGAGGGGGCCAGGGTCAGGCGGACAGGACCCCAGCTCTCTCCGGGTGAGATGGCTTCAAGTGTGTGGGTCTGTGCCCAAGAGGTGCCGGTGTGGGCGTGAACTCTGGTGGGATGGAAAAAGGCTCTGCCAGGAGGCCTGGATCACACCACCTGGAGGCCGTGGGGAGCTCAGACCCGTGTGGTAGGAAGGAGCGACCGGCCTCCAGTTAGCCTATGCCCGTCCATTCTCTCGGGGGCAGCGGCCTTGTCCCCTCTCAGGCTGAGGACTAGCCTCTGGGGGGGATATCTCTGCTTGCCAACATCTGAATGAGATTTGGGGGGGGGGGGCTGAGGACAGGAAGTGACTGGAAAACAAGGACTGAGGGGCCATCCTATAGCCCAGAGGTCTTGGGTAGGGAACCAAGGCTTAGAAGAACCTTTCTGAGCCTCTCTCCCCCTGGGAGAGGACACGGGCCCCCCAGGAAGGGTGTCGATGACGGCTTCCTCTTAGGGTTCCTGGCCCCCGTGGCTGCTGTTGACCTGCGGCTCCTTCATCTCAGGTAACACCACACCGTGAAGGCTGCCTGCCGGGAGAGCAGGTGGGTCTGTGCGCCTCTACCCTAGGCTGAGGGAAGCCCCCTTCCCTGGCGTTTCTGGGGCTCAAACTGGGAGGAACTCAGGGAGTGGGGTTATTGCTCAGATCTCCAATAGGAAAGGGGCTGGGGCTGGAAGAATGCCGGGGGGAGGGAAGGACACGGAGTGGGGCCTGAACCAGTGGAGTCCACGGCAGGATTCCGGAGAGGGCGGACGTGGGAACTCCCTCCAGAAGCTTCGATTCCGGCTTGGCTCACGCCACACCTGTCAGAACAGCAGGTTCCCCGACCAGGCAGAACGTGAGCCACAGCCACTGGGCGGCGGGAGGGCCCTGCTCACCCGGCTGTGCAAAAGGCCGCCGGAAGGGTGCCGAGCGAGGGCACGGGGCTCCCTGGGAGGCTTGGCAAGGGCCCCGAGAAGCTCTTCCGGGTGGCAGTTCCAAATCCTAAGACAAGCCATCGGACGGGCACAGCCTGGGCTCCACGTCTCCGCCTCACACATTGCTGTTTACAGCTCTGCCTCCCAAGCCCGCGCTCGACCCCCTTTTCCAAAGGCCAACAGACAGAGCGTCTGTCCAAGAGCCGAGGACTCAGCAGAGCCAGCGCCGGGAGGGGGACACCCAGCACTCACGGTCCGGTCTGGGGCAGCCTTGCTCTCGCCAGCGTTTGGGCTGAGGGGGGGTGGGCACGTGACTGGAACACTCTAAGTCTCTAATGAGCCTGTGGAAGGCAGTCCCTCCCCCTGCCCCTCT